GAGGGAGGGAGGGAGGAAGGAAGGAAGGAAGGAAGGAAGGAAGGAAGGAAGGAAGGAAGGAAGGAAGGAAGGAAGGAAGGAAGGAACTAAAATATTGCCCAATCAAGTAAGAGGTAACAATCCAAATCATTGTGACTTCTTTTGCAGTTTTCTTGGGAAAACTCCAATAAGCTTCACAAGCATTTTGCTAGTACTTTCCTGTTGTAATGTCATTAATCACAAGGATTAATGAAAATTAGCCCATGCCAATCACAGTGTATGAAGAGTGTTATCCTAGCACTTTGAGGTAGAGGACATTACTGTCCTCATTTCATACACAGGAAAGAGAGAGTGTAGCTCTCACAGGCTCTTGAGCACAGAATCTGAACTCCAAGGGGAGCTCTCTGAGCCCCACCTCCAATGTAAGCACTGTAAACTTGTAAGTTAGAGTTGCCATCGTGACCAGATTGTCTGAGTCATCTGAAGCACAGCATGTTCTCTGAAGGTCTTTCTTCATCTACATAATGAAGCAATTGGATTGAACAATATTTTTCAAATTGCAAGTCAAGATACTTTAGTGTCTTTTTTTGAACTTCAGTGGATTTTTTAAATATGTTAGTTTTTATAAGCTTACAAAGCATTATTAGATGGTATGATTTCTAAGGACCTGCCTAGCTCTGAAATTCTCAAATAAAGAAAATGAACTTAACGTGCTATTAAAAAACAAACATGTATTTCATATTTGAGAGAGTGGAGGTTTTGATCTGTCTAGTCTTTAAGAGAGATTGCCATAGAGCAACTTGTCCTGACTTACCAACTAGACCAGGAGGGCCTAAAACTCCTGCTCTTCCTGCTTCCACTTCCGGAGTGCTGGGATTACATGGGTGTGCCAGCAGCAGCAGCAGCTCAAAAACTGTCTTACCCCCACTGTCTTCCCTCTTCACAATGCTGAACTCAGGAACTTACATATACTACACAAAAGGATGTTAATGTGCCACCAAGCCACATCCCCAGATTAAGGATGTGTATTTCTCAATATTATAAGGAAGATCTAATCGTTCTGTTTTCACAAAAGAAATCTTCTATAGAACTTTCTCAATCATCCATATCACAAAATTTTGACCTTTGTACACCATTTCAGAAATAACCAAACTGGACTAATCTCTTTAGGCCAGACTGTCCTTCAATAAATAAACTGACAAGAAAAAAAAAAAAAGACAGAAGGGGCACATATATAATTAAAAGAGTCCTAAGAGACATATAGCTAATTTCAATTTAGATCATAACTATACTTTAAAAAAATGAAGCAATCAAGAATATTGAGAGTATTTGTGTGAGACTTTGCTGAACTGGTGATCAAAAACTTAAAGGCAAGTACAAAAAACATCCTCTTTGGCAATTCTGAATTCAGTGTTCAGCATGAGTTTTATTTGCATAAGAAGACAGTTGATAACAAAAATAAAATTTTTAAATTTTTAAAAAGAATATTTAACATTGTATAGTTGATAATATTAAATACCAGCATTTTAGGAATTTGAAAATATTGACCTTAAAGTGACTTCAGTTAATTTTAGGGATGATAATGTTATTTCATTATTAGCTATTGTGGGTGTGATACTGTTAATATGGTTGTTTTTGTAAATATACACATATTTGTAAAATAGATTAAGGCTAAAATATTTATAGATAAATTTCATATCTGAAATTTTTTGAAAACAATATGAAATAAGATTGTGAAGAGCTGATGATTGTTGACACTGATCAGAAGGCTTAGATTTCGTTAAAATGTTTTCTCTACTTCTATGTATTTTTAAACTCTCTACAATGAAATGGGTTTTCTTTGGAGTAAAGAAAACAGAACAATAAAGCAAAAGTTTTATCTCAGAACTTAATTGGCCAGACTCAACTCTGAATTTCAGAATTCCAACATTTTATTCTACATCTGTTAAATAGAGTCATTCTCTTTTCTATTTTCTAAGCTTTGATCCAATCAGAAGTCAGAGGCCTTCCTGGATCACTAGAATCCATTTACATTAAAGATTATGAGATAGGAGTATCATTCAGCAAAGGTATGAAGTAATCCTCAGAAGCATCAGCTCACCAAATCTATTAAACTCTGCTTTCTGCTCCTGAGTTAACAGGACTTTCACTTCCTGTTTCCAATGAGAGCACATTTCACCAGTACCCTGTGGCTACTCTTTTTGCTTCATGCAGATTCTATAATTTAAATTAGATGACGACTTTAGGTGTGACAAATATAAGATTACTGGGAGTGAGTGAAACTTGACTGAAGACTGCAGTCCTTCCTAGTCCTTGATTTGTGGAAACTGAGTATCAACCTCACCCACAAGTCAAGTCGCTTGTGGGTCTCCACAGGTTATAATGATCTCATGCCTAAATTGCAAAGATTTAGGTGAAACCTTCTAGGAGAATGCATGCTACTTACATCCAAAGCAGCACTGCAGAGAGGGAGGATCTGCCCACCTGAGCCAACCTCTCCTTGATACAGTTTCTACAGAAGTAGAAAGAAAACTCCACCCCAAGTTGGTTCTTGCTGTTTAAGGCAAGGTCTTACTCTAATCCAAGCAAACCTGGAACTAGCACAGCCCAGGCTGGCCTCAAACTCTGGGCAGTTGTCCAACCTTGCCTCCCTAGTGCTGGATGACAGTAGCAAACTATTGTTCCTGGCAGATACTCCCTGCCTTTTATTTCATTTTGGTTTTTGAGACAGGGTCTCACTACATAGCCCTAGCTGGCCCAGAACGTACTATGTAGACCGTCTGGCTCAAATTCACAAAGATCTAACTGCTTCTGCCTCCCATGTCTGCCTTTTTTGAGATAGACTCTTTTAGGCTCTTATGTAGTCTAGGTTGGCCTCAAATTTTCTAATAGCCCAAAATAACCTTAAGTTTCAGAACCTCCTGTTTCCGCCTCTAGAGTACTAGGATTACAGGCAGGCAACACCACACTCCATGCAAATGGTGACAATTTGAAGAGACTGTTGAGATGCAAGCGTCAGCAGTCCACTGACCTGAAGCTCCCCGCATAATTTACACCATTAGCTCTCAAAGCTGCATACTTTGTACATCTCTGAGCAAGATTTCCCTGACAAGTATCCTACTCAGAAAATAGAAAAAAAAGCATACATTTTTTTAAAAACATTATTACTCCATTAGCCACCAGAACAAACACACTTCTAACATAGGAGAACAACTTGTAACATTGTCATTTAATTGCTCTTAGTGTCAGAAGCTCCTGAGAGTGAACAAGATGTTTTGTTTTTCTTTATTTAAAGAAAAAAAAAAAACAAAAAAAAAAACGTAATACCTATTTCACAGGGTTGCTGCAAACATTAAACTGATTAACATATTTTAAGTTTTCCCTTTATTACTTGTCTTTTAACTTTTTGAACTAAATTTGAATAAAAGTTTAATATCCATAAAATAAAGCAAAATAAGATCCTCTCAGAAAAAAATTGGTAAAACTCCATGGAGAAATGCAAATTCCCTCAATACCCACATGGGATACGCATGCATCAAATTCTCAAAGAATAAATAACTAATATTATATAGAAAAAGAATCTGTATTCTACACCAAAGTTCAATATACAGCTTTTACCACAGTCTCAAAATACATTTTCTTGCCAAAATAATTCAGCATTTATTAAACACCCCCTTTCTCCATAATTCATTTCTCTCTCCTTCTTTCTTCCTGTTTCTCCAGCCCTCAAAACACAACCCCAATAATTCTTTTTAAAGACAATGTACAAGCATTTTATTATTGCTGGCAGTTTTTGCATAGCTACAAACACACAGACAATGTGGAATTAATTCAGCTTGAAAACAGGGTGAAAGTTAGCAACTTGATGTTAAAGATGCTATCCGTAAACAAACAAATAAGTAAAAGCTGACAAGGTGTGTGTGACATGAGTCCCAAGGAGGCAGACTTCACAGCTCCCAAGCTTTGAAATCTGTGGTTTCTCTGGGCAGGGTGGCTGGTGACATGTCTACTGCTGCTCTCCTGACCTCAGCGTGGAAGGAAGGACTGGATTTCTTGCCAAGGAGTCTGCTCCTTCAAGATTTCTCCAAAGATAAACAACAAGAACCACTACTGTGATGCTACCTCTGTAGTTTATTAGTATCCTACTGGCCTCTGCAACCTCTACAGACCCCTTACTCTGCACTGTGATTTCATTGTCCTCCCACACTCTCCCTGTTTTCCTTTTCCCTTTCCTGTCTTCCTTCCTTCCTTCCTTCCCTTCATTTAATTTCCTCTCCCTTTTCCAACCTTGTTTTTATTTTTCTTCCAAAATCATATTACCATAAGCACCTAGCTGTGGAGCCACCCTATGATCCCCAGTAGCTGCCAAGGGGGAAAGCACTTTCAATTACATTTTCTTCTAAAAGTGCTTCTCCAGGTGTCTGTTCTGTGATTAGGTCTCAGCTGTCTGCCTACTGTGCCTCTGCAAACAGACCCTATAGTTCCCCCAACAATCAAAGTTCCTCCTGCCTCACTCTTGTTTGAACTGAGGACAAAAGCGAAACCAGAATCTCTCAGCACTATCCTCAGTTTGGCTAGAAGACACCTCCTCGGACATGGGGATGGATGGTAACCTAGTCCACACTTCCTCAGAGCATCTTCCAAAGCCCCTCACTCACCCAGCTCTTCCATGGTCTTTCACCCTCGATGCTCTCTCTAGTCCTGAAGACTGTGAAGAACTGTTTTGGGCATGTGGTGAAGAAGGGGACCACAACGGAACTGAATGAGACAGTGCAAAGCAGCCTCTATGACCCTTTTTGGTTCCTGTATTTGCTTAGCACTTCCTCACTTTTGATTTGTTGAATTTTTTTTTCTTTTCTTTTCTAGTAGCTTAGTTTTGTTTTAAATAGTGCTGACTGAGAATGGCAGGTTGTGCAAGATCGAGATTTTGATGCTACATTGGGCAGGGTGGTTATAAAGACTGAACGTTGATTTTTTTCAAAATTTAAACACCCACCACGTACAAGGGTTTAATTTTTCCAAGTTTAAGTATCCCACTGCCCACTGCTGGCTTCCTTTTTTTTAACCCACTGTAAAATTAGAGGAGCATGGAAGCATAGGCTCCTTCCTTACAATTTCTGATTAAACAGCACTAACTTCATTTCACTATCTCTATTTTCTTACTCAGCAGTCGTGCTG